CATCTGCCTTTCTATTCCTCTCCCTGCCACCACATTGTTGTTGTACACAAAATTTCCAGCATATTTAAAATGAATGTTACATTTCTGATCAGAAAGTTATTAAGCTGTTTACAGTGTGAGATATTTTACTTAAACTCTCAAAGTGCTGGAATCAGATGCTGCATTAAAATATTAACTCTTAATTCATTTGGTTTCCCCGTGCTCCATTATATTCAAGTAAATGTATTGAAGGTGTCTTTATAGCACATTACTTAAAACAGTATAATAGGCTATTATAGGAGCAAAAAGATGAGCAGAGTCCAGGTATAACTACCAACTTTAGAGCTTGAAATTTAGGTATTTCTATGTACCAGCAATAGACACATACAAAGTGGTCATGTTATCCAATGCCATTTACACTTCCATCAAGAAATATCAACTGCCTAGGACTCTTAACAGAAAGTGAGCAAGACCTCTATCCAGCAAACATCGAAAGAAAGCCTATAAATATCATATTGTCACACTGTTGTAAAGATGTCAGTTCTCTAAATTTAGCTATCAATTTGGGGCAGTCTCATGTACATCTTAGCAGATATTTTTGTGGAAATTTAGGTGATTTTTAAATATATATGGAAATATAAAGCGTCTAGTTAACCAATATAACGTCAAAAAAGTATCAAGAGAGAAATTGGAGCCCCTGCATTATCACATGTTAAGATTTATTATAAAGTGCAGTAATCAGACAGCATGGTACTGGCACAATGGGAATATCTATGAAATTAGAGCATCCACAAAGAGACTCCCACATATAGTCACCTGGTTAGTGATGAAGGTAACACAGTTACAGTAGAAAACTTAGAGCCTTTCAGTAAATGGTATGAGATCATTTAGATCTTCATATAGAAAAAATTAAGTGTGGTTGATACCTTATATGGTAGCATATACAAAAATCAGTTCCATATGTACTTTAAGGCAAAATGCGGAAGGTAAAACAATAACTTTGTTAGAAGAAAATAGCATTTCTTCAGGAGTTGGGGATGATAAGGATTTCTTATTAAGCATGATATAAAAAGCTTCACCCAAGGGAAATATTGATAAATTGAAGTACATTAAGATGAAGAATCTCTGTTCATCAAAAGATTATTATAAAGAGAGAAAAGGTAAGCCATAGTCAGGAAATACTTATTTACTTATCTATCTATCTATCTATCTATCTATTTATTTATTTATTGGTACCAGGGATCAAACTTATGAGCTTGTGTTTGTCAGGCAGGCGCTTATGCTGCTGAACTAAATCCCTGGCTTTTCATGTGTTTATCAAGTAAAGAACTTATGTTCAGAATATATGAACTGGGAGCTTTGGCTGAATGTTAGAACATGTACCTAGTATCGACAAGGTTTCATCCTTAGCACTGCAAAAAAGAAAAAGGAAAAGAAAGAGTATCTGAGGAGTTCCATCACACAAATAAGAAAAGCCACTTAGGCTAATAAAAAGCAAAAGACTTGTACTGGCACTTTCCAAAAGAAGTCATTCAAATAGTCCTTAAACATATAAGAAAAGGCACGGAGTTGCATTTGTCTTCCTGTAGTAAAATCACATTGCGATACCACTATATACCTAGTAGAATAGCTGCACTGAAAAAAGTCAAGCAACACCAAGTGCTGGAGAAACTGGGAAGCAGAACTCTCAGACCATGCCGTTCAGCTGTGGGATTGGGTGAGCCACTGATGGTCCTCAAGCTGCAGGTACAGTCTTGGCCTGCACAGTGTCAACCGGGTGCTACAGTCTGAAGGTCATGTGATCTTCTTGATCTTTGCCAGGCTCCCGGAGCTGTTAGAACCTTTAGAACTTACTGCCTTTTCCTTTCTCTCTGTGTAAAGACTGCCTAGTAAGGGGCTGGGGATTTAGCTCAGCAGCATAAGCGCCTGCCTTGCAAGCAGGCAGTCATGAGTTCGATCCCTGGTACCAATAAAAAGGAAAAAGGCAAAAAAAAAAAAAAAAAAAAAGACTTCCTAGTAATGATTAGGATTTTCTCCAGAGATTATTTAATGAAAGCAGCAACAGCAGTGACTAGCACTTGTATTATACAAAGTAACTTCCAATTTTATTGTCTGTCCCCTTATTTATTTATTGTTTATAACAATACCATAACAGGTAGGTGCTAAAGTATTTAGATGTTATTGCTCCCATTTTATGGTTGTGGTAACTGAGGTGCACAGAGGTAAAGTAGCTTGCTCAAGATCACCCACTTAATAAGTGATGGAAATGTACTCAACTTGGAGCATGACAGTGTCTGTAATTAACCTGGGCACTCTCATTACTTCAGAAATGATCTGGTCTTTTCACTTCCTGCTTTGGTTTCTTTCAACCTTCCCATTACAGTGTTACCCTTGAGGGTCTCTTTTCCTGACTCTTTGTCCCAGCCGGTTTTCCTTTCTCTAAGGAAATTATTTGGAATATTATTTGCATAATTACTACAGATGTTAATAATGGCCCCCATCATAATAACCACATTTTAATAATAATAATAATAATAGTTAACCCTGCTTCTGTGGAGTGTTCACTGCATGCCAAGTCCCAATGGGTCTTTCTATGCATTATCATATGGAATCACTAGAACAACCCAGTGAAGAGGCTTTGACTGTTACCCTGTTTTATGTAGTCTAAGCTGCAGGGATGTGAGGTGAAGGCTCTTGTCTAGGGCCACCATTAGGAACTGGCAGGGTCAGGGATCCAGGCCAAGTCTGTTGGATTCCAAATGCTAAACCTCACCACAGCTCTGTGCTGGCTTTAAAATTTTATTTTAATTTATTTTTAAGGTTTTTTTTTTTTTTGCTGTATCTGCATGTGAATCCCTGGCTGTGTTTAGTTTTATATGCTATGATCTTATATATATTCATGAAAACTGTGCCCTTTCCCATTCATCATTTATGGAGTACCTAATGTCTACCACATATTTTGGAGTCACCAAGAAGAGTAATAACCTTGAGCAACTTCTATTGAGTAAAGGAGACAGATCATTGTGAATCAAAGTGATCTCTTTGGGAGCAAATGCTTTGCTGGTTGTTGAGGGCAGCCAGGGCGTTTGAGGTAGAAAGCCCAGTCAGTTGAAGTCAGACCTAATCCTAAAGATTTTAAACTTGTTGGTACTCCAGAGCAGATGCGGTCACCAGGTCACTGCCTCCCTTTAAGCCGGGAGTGTGACACATAATGTTGATGGAAATATACCATCCTCCACACAGAAGAAAATTCCCAAATGGGGAGAATCTGCCACCCCTCTCCTCCACTTTCAGCAATGTCTTGTTACAAGCAAGGTGTCAGGCATCCTGTAAACTGCATGGAGAGTATCATTGAGAGCTACCATGGAGTGGCTGTCAGACATTAGTAGGGGCTGGCAATGTAGCTGAGTGGTAAAGTACATGCTTAATGTGCATGAGGCCCTGGGTTTGATTCCCTGAACTGTGAAAACAAACAAAACAACTTCAATGAACTAAACCCTGCACCTCAGAGCCTGATTCAGTGGGACTGGGGAGGGAACAATTTAAACAGATGTGTTGGGTGCAGGAGGCCTATGAATCACATTTTGCAAATCTGCTGTTTGAACTTCTTGCAGTAGAGGGTACTGAGGCAAGATGGAGACATACAGATTTATGAGTAGGTCCCCCACAGTTCTTCCTAGAGTGTTTCAAGTGCTGTGCGGTTATATTATCCCAGAGGAAAACTGGCCTTGTGCCTGCACACATGGTACTGCTGGTAGGTTTGGGCATAAATAATTAACCGTATACGTTTTTGAAGAGCTATGCTACTTGTTGTATGTTAGAAATTGCATGCAATTTCTAAATCAAATTAAATGCTTATTATACTATGTCTTTAATATATAATAAGCAACACAATATTAATAAATTCCAGGTCCCTGAAGGCAGCAGGTTGGAGCTTAGTTATTCCATCTGCAAGGTTTTACTTCATATCTTACTAGTTTTAGAGATTGTGGAAGAGACGATCCTATTGAGTTTTTCCTTCTCTTGCTCTCATCAGCCCTCAGCCCTCAGCCCCAGCGTAAAATTAGGAATAGCTTTACCTGAGTCATCATTTTCCCATCTGTCTGCTTTCCTTCCTGAGCCTGAGGCTCCTTTGACAGGTGCATTTACCTGGATCTGTGGGCACCAGAGATGGTGTCTTTAAAAGGCGTGCTGGGCAGCACTACCCAGTTATTGGGCCAGGCTGCTGATCTCTGTGCCATTTGAGCCTTGGTGGCTCTTTTGGTTTCCCTATCAGTAGAAAGGCTTCAAGGACTGGACAGTATCGTCCTGTCTACCCCAGAAGCTGGCTTCCAGGCCTGTTTGGATGGTTGAGGTACAGAGTCATACCCTCTCAAGCCCATTAACTGCGAGTTGAAATCTGTGCTCAGTAAATAAGATCACTGTCCGTGGACTGCTAACTTTCCACTTAAGGCTTATGCCCTGGTTAGTGTACTGTACTTTCGGGAGTATGGCTTTCCTAAAGTAATCTGTATTACATGCTATTTTTGTCTTACCCATTGGCTTTGGGATCTATCTTCTCTAAGCTTGTTTCCATCTCTCTGAATCTCAGCATCAGTATGCCTACCGGTCCTGTGTTGGACATTTGGTCTGACTCGTGTGCCTCCACTGGCATCAGAAGCACTGGAGGGGAGCATGTAAAATGTATGAAGCCTCCTTCCCCTTAGGTTTACTGAGTTCTGCTCTCTGAATGTGCTCCAGGAGGTCCCCTTTATTAAGCTGTCCAGGCGATTGTCTTGCACACTGAAGTTTGAGAATGGCTGTCTTCAAGGGTTTGTTGATGCTTTTGCCTCAGGTTGGGTTAATTTATTTTTAGTATTTTTCTTGGGTGGTGAGTCAAGTCTAATATGAGTGGGAAATTGTGCTAACTGAATCTGAAGAAGTGCTGCTTTGTTTCCCCCCAAATGTTGTTAATGGTCATTATACCTGGACATGGATTTCATGTCAGTTGGTAACCTTTTCTTTTCTTTTCTTTTTCTCAGGTATTTGTATCACGTCTTGACCAAAAACACCACAGTCACAGAACAGAATCGGAACCTGCTGGTAGAGACCATTCGTTCCATCACTGAGATCCTGATTTGGGGAGATCAAAATGATAGTTCTGTATTCGAGTAAGGGTTTCCATTGCTTTTCGTTTTTTGATTCTTTTTCCTTTGGATGTTTTTCCAAGTGTATACCATGACTCATTCCTGCTGATGTCAGAACCTAGCACAAATTTGGTCTTTCCCAAATATCTGTCTATATCAAATGTCCTTGAAACACTAGAAATCAAATGTCCTTGAAACACTAGAAATGAAATCCAAAAATGAGGGGGTTTTGGAAATGAGTGTCTCCAGACACCCTGAAAATGTCATGGATAATTTTCTAAGCAATGGCCTCAAAGGAAGGAGAAAGTATCCTGAGGGGTTTAGGTTCTAAGTGAACTGGAAGGACCTTGCCCTGCGGAAGTCACTGAGGGCCAGGCCCAGGGCTGAGTTTGAAGAGGCAGTACAGGGAGTCTTCCACCCACCCCGGTGGAGGCCCTGTCATACCCCCATTTTTGCTCACAGCTGGTAGGTGGTAAAAGAATTAGTAGCTCATATCCAGAGCCCGTAATGAGGTTTCTCCTTTCCACCCCATCCTTGTATTTCCTAGATGAGCAATCCTAGGCTAGGCCCATTGTCTCCCTGAGCCTCAGCTTCCTCTTCTTTACAGGAGAGGAAAAGTTCTGTGTTCAATGTTAGATCCAGAGCAGGCACTCTTAAATGATAGCACATGATAAAAACAGTTACACTGTATAAACTGTGAATTACCTCCCCAGCAGACCTGCTTCCAGGGGGAAATGGGGTTGGATTATAACAGTGGTGGCAAACCTGTGGAACACGTGTTGTTGTGTTTTTCTAAGACAAGGGATCTTAATATATGAGTTGTTTTTTCTACACTAAATCCTCAGTACTGTGGGTACTGAGGTGTGATCGCAATGTTGGCACTTTGTGAAAGGTGAGTGGGTTTTGGGTCACAGTTTGGCACTTGGTCTCTAAAAGTTTTGCCATCATTATTTATAAAAACCACTAAACACAGATTCTGTGTGTGTGTGTGTGTGTGTGTCTTTATTATAAATATTGAGGCCATTTATAAAATCTGTTAAAAAAATAAGGTGTTCCAATTTTATCCTGGCTTCTTACTAGTTATTGTGAGTTGATTTTCAGCACAGCTCTGTACTTTCATCAATAAGGTTATGTATTAAGCTTCCTATAGAAAACACAAACTCTTTACAATGCAAACCTGTTAAAAGATTTGCCATGTTAAAAATTAGAAAGTGTTCTCTTTCCTAGAATGAGCCTTTTTAGTCCATCTTTCATCTTAGAAAAGCTACTGAGCTCTTAAGAGTCTCATTGATGCTCCAAATTACTGCCCAGCAGAGTCCTCAAGAAAAAAAAAAAAATTTTTTTTTTGAGACAAAGTCTCACTCAGGCAGTAGAATCACCATGAGTTTGAGGCCAGCCTGACCTAGATAGTGCGTTCAGGACCAGTGTGAACTATACAGCAAAATCTTGTCTCAAAAAAAGAAACAAAACAAAATTTTTTGTAGCTTTTAATTCATTTTTAAATTTTAGGATAATTTTTTATTTATAAAAAAGTTTTAAAGATACTATAGAGAGTTCCTGTATACCACCCCCGATCTGGTTTCCCCCATTATTAATATATCATTAGGGAGTATTTCTCACAACTAAGAAAGTGACATTAACATACTAGTATTAAGAAAATTTCAGACTTGGTTTGACTTTTGTCAGTTTTTTTTTGTCTTTTTCCTTTTTATCAGTACCGGGGATCGAACCCACAACTGCCTGCTTGCAAGGCAGGCGCTTACGCCGCTGAGCTAAATCCCCAGCCCCTAGTTTTGCATTAATATTTTCTTGATGCTCCAGGATGCCATCCAGGCTTCTAAGTGGCACTTAGTTGATATAGCTTCCTCTGATCTGTGAGGTTTCTTAGTCTTCCCTTGTTTTTTGTGATCTTGATAGCCTTGAAGAGTTCTGCCTAAGTCTCCCTCAGATGTTTTCCCATCTGAGTTTGTCTGATGCTTTTCTCATGATTCGACTGAGGTTTGTGGGAAGGAGAGGTGAAGTGCCCTTCTCACCCATCAGCCCAGGATGCCTGTGATAAGTACAGAACACCCCAGTCACATGACCGCCACTGCCTGGCTCAGATGGTATCTGCCATGTTCCCGAGAAGTTACTATTTCTCTTTATCCTGAGCTTTCTTTAGAAGAACCACTAAATCTAGTCCACCTTTCAGGATGAGAGAGTGGAAAGCTCTACCTTCTAGAGGTATTATATATCATTAAAATGCTTCCACATGGGAGATTTTTTTTACTGTTTCGTTTAATTATTTATATCAATATATGACTCATAAATATTTTCATTACATATTGAGTTATAATCCAATGCTTGTTTATTTTTATAGTTTTTATTATACTTTGGGTTATAATCCAATACTTCGTTACTCACATTATCCTAACTCCTGCTGTTGGAGCCTCTTTCAGATTAGTTCCTGTGTCCCTTTGAAACATTCTCAAACTTTCATTTCTTTGAGCATATTCCTACTCCTAGTACTATAAGATATTTCAGGCCCATTTTATATTTTTCCCACCCTACTCTCAGAACCAGCTATTTTTCTAAGGAAAGTCTTGGGAAATTTCCAGAAATTCAAACTGAAGGTTTTAGACCTTCTGAATCAACAGGGCAAGATCTAGGTACACACATTTTGACAAATCCTCAAGTTGGTCACTGCAGCAGGGAGAGTGCTGGTGATACCCGATTCACTGAAATACACCACATAAAGTGAGGGTAGACAAAAATGCCAAGTGATAGAAATACTTTGGAGGTCAACGTGAATGGCATTTATAGCAAACAAGCTTCCAGAATCAGTGTGGAAAGTATTTTAGGTTTTTGTTTTTTGTGGTCCTATTTATCCATTCATTTGCCCTTTCATGGATACAAATAGGAATTACACAGCACTGATCAAATGCCAGACCCCTGGTGCCACCACTCTGGAGCTATGGTCAAGGGCAGAGAGAAATACCAAAAACTAAGTCAACCAGGAGACATGTGGGGATTTCTGGAGACTGCAGGGATTTCTGGTGACTGTTCCAAAAGACTTAGCTTGAAGTCACAGGATACAACTGAAAGCATTTTCTTACTTTAAAGAAAGGCGTCATGGGGTTCTAATCCCCCCAAAAGCCAGTGTACCAGGCAGAATTCAGAAAAGTGTCCTGGCCAGACTGAGACAGTCAGAAACAGACATAGGGACAGGTGAGAGTCCCTCCAATATGTTAATAGGTTTGATGTTCTTTTTAGTTCTTTTCCCAGATGTGGAACCTTGACGACTTGGAAACCAAAGCTCTTTTATTATTCAGCATTATTTTCTTCAGGGAATTCCCATTGTGTTTTCTTAACACTTAAACATAAGGAGAATACAGGAAAGAGGCTTAGTAAGGAAAACAAAGGGTATGGAGTATAATGGGCAACGCGGCTTGTTAGGCTTACAAGCATAGATTACAGTATGATCACTTAGTAGGTAAAGATCATTCCCGTTCTGCCAGCAATCTCGTTCACTGTTTCCTGGAATCAACACTTTCCTACACTCTGGGAAGCGAGTTGCAAGATTACATGTTGACCTTGATGGAAGATGTCATCATGGGAACCACATATATGGGAACCGAGGCCATGTGGGTGGCGTGTTCTGGTGTTCTTACTGATGCTCTTGCAGGGACAGGGCTAACAGCTATGAATGTAACCAGAGAATGATTTCAGTTCCTGTGTCAGAGTAAATCACTGACTCTGTCCCTTTCTCTCCCCAGCTTCTTCCTGGAGAAGAACATGTTTGTCTTCTTCTTGAACATCCTGCGGCAGAAATCAGGCCGCTATGTGTGTGTTCAGCTGCTGCAGACCTTGAATATCCTCTTTGAGAATATCAGCCACGAGACCTCACTTTGTAAGGACATTCTTTGATACTTGCCTGTGGACACTGGGGCATCAGTGGGTTGTAGTTTGGTGGGTTTTTGTGTATCTCTGCTTACCTCATGTGTTAGTCTGCTTGGGCTGCCCTCCTAGCACCGTAGACTGAGTGGCTTAAACAGTAGATACTCATTTTCTCACAGTTCTGGAGGATAAAAGTACAAGTTGAAGCTGTCATCAGCTTTGGTTGGACTCTTCCTGGCTTGCCAACAGCTTAAGTCTGTTTTCTGTTGCTGTAACAAAATACCCAAGACTGAATATTTTGTAAATGAAAAAGGTGTATTTTGGTACATGATTCTGGAGGCTGAAAAATCCAAGACTGGCAGATGAGACCTTGAACTGTTTCAATTCATGGCAGAAAGCACAAGGGCAAGAGGGCTTGTGTGAGAGAGGCAGAACACTAACTTTAAAATAATCGGTTCTTGGGGTAATTAATGTGGTTCCATGAGAGTGAAAACTTTTGCAGGGAAGGCATTAGTTACTCTGTTCGTGAGGGTTCCACCCCTATGATAGAAACACCTCCTGTCCCTCCAGGTCCCGCCTTCCAACACCGTGACTCTAACATGACTCTTTGGGGTACGCACTCAGACCACACCAATCACCTCCTTATGTATGACCTTTCCTCTCCGTATGTGTGTGTATATGTGTGACAAAGCAAGTGTGAGAGTGAGACTGACAAAGAGAAGGAGCAAAGGAGGGGGACTGTCCTGGTGTCCCTTCCTCTTTAGAGTCACTAGTTCCATCAGACCTTTGTAGGTCCTGACCTTTAATGACCTCATTTAGCCTTAATTGACATCTAAAAGTCCTATTTCCAAATGTAATCACATTGAGGATTGGGGTCTCAATATATGAATTTGTTGGGGGTGCATTTCAGTCTATAACACTGTTATTGCTGTGTGATGGGATACTGTGAAGGGCTGAGAGGATTCCCCTCTTCTGAACAATCCTGGGAGTATTTGCATTCTTTCTTTACAACTTGCTAGTAAGAAGTTGGTTGCTGAGTAGCCAGCCCATGGATTAAGTATTGGAGGAGACGGGGGTGGGGGGGAGAGAACCAGCCAAAGAGCCTGCAGGGTGTGGGCTAACCCTCCTGCTTCCCCTCTGCTGCCCAGCTAGTTATCATGGGACTCTGCGTACATCATCTGCCCTCACCAAACCGTTTCTTCATCTGTAACAAGCGTCCCTGTGAGGCAGGGGTTGTTGGTGTCTTCATTTTAACACCAAGAGAGTTTGAATTATGGGCCCAAATGAGCCAGTGTAGAGAAGGAGTTTCATCCTAGGTGAATGAGCTCAGGGGTCCTTAGGCGGGGTGTTGGTGTCTATCAGGCGGCACTGACAGTGTCTGAGATATTTTGGCAGTCACAGTCCGGTTGTAGAGGGACTGCTACTGGCACCTAGTGGGTAGAGCCAAGGTTTTGCAGGCATCCTGTAGTGCACAGCACAACCCCACAATGGAGAATTACCCAGCCCAGACAGTGCTGAGGCTGAGTTCCTAATCCTCCATGCTTGATTGCTAGCTTTATTATTCCAAGGTGACAGCACAGCCCAGGTCCTGCCTGCAAGGAGAAAACAAGTGACTGAGAGTCTGTACCACAGATGTTGCTCAGTCTCTGAGACATTTTTGAGGAAAGTGCTGTGGGCCAAAGGAGGTGAGCCTGGTAGCCTTTCTCTGGGGATCAAGAGAGGGGTTCTCAGCATGGCGGTTCTCAGCATCAACCACTAGGTGGTACTGCTGCCCTAGAGTTGCAGTTGCTGTCTGGGGCAACTGCAAGGTGACAAGTTAGTTGATTGATGTCTCTCTGCGTGATGTCTCTCTCTGTTTTTCTGCATATGAAACAAATGCAGTTTCTGCACTCCGACAGGGGAAGATCCAGCACAGTGACAGAGGCCTAGGACTGAACCTGGCCTGAACCAATCAGCTCCTTGCTCCCCGCTTGTGTTTGAGTTAACTCTCCAGCTGCACACCCTGGCCAGGGAGATAAGAGCAGTGGTGGAGATGGTGGGTTAAGGAGCCAGTGTGAGCTTAGCCTAGGCACCAGGGGCCAGAAGTGGCTGTAATACTGGTTGTGTTATTTAGTGAAGCAGTTCCTCTAGTCTTGTCTCTAGTAACGCTTGCCAAGCCCAGTGAGGCACAGGCGTATGGGATTAAAGATGGGGGGCCTTTATAAATACTGACTTTTTATGTTATAATTTTTGATTTATGTATATATTGAAATAATAACCACAATCAAGCTAATTAACATATTACTTCATATGGTTGCCTTTTGTTGTGTGGTAAAAATACCCTTTTAGCAAATTTCAAGTTTGTAATACAGTATCATTAACTATAGTTACCATGCTGGCTTTCCCTTACATCTCGAGAATTTAGCCATCTTGCAAGACTTTATATGCTTTAACCAACACCTCCCTGTTTCCCCTGTGCCTCAACCCTGGTAATCACCTTTCTCTCTCTACTTCTACGAGTTTGACTGTTTTAGATTCTACACATAAGTGAAGTCATACAGTAGGCATGGGTTCTCTTATAGAGGGACCAAAAAGGGTGCTTTGCCTCTTACTGTATGGATAACTCACCAGTGCCTTTAAAAGCCCTGCAAAAACAGCAAAAATCCCTGCCTGTTTGTAAAACTTTCATTTGCAAGGAATGAAGAGAGGTGACCGTTAGTTTTATTTTCTAATCATAGAAATTGTCTTCATTGTGACAAAATGAAACAGTGAACGTTTTAAAAATAGAGAAAGTTAAGTTTCTATAGCATCTGACTGTAACAGTTCAGTTTCCACAAGCCTTTTTGCTTTACACCCTCCCATCTTACCAGTATGTCTCGGATCGTCTCATTTTAAACTGCTCCCTCATCTTGGTTTAAGAGCAGCATCTTGCTGTGCTATAATCTGTTTAACCTACAGTGGGCATTTAGGTGGTTTCCAGTTTTTGCTATTACCAGCAGCCATTTCATACATGCATCTGTTGTCCACTGGATTTGGTGACCTATGTGACAGAGGCCTGAGAGACTGTGATTACTTATAGACTCCTGGGCTTGTTATAAAAGAATATCACAGAAAGTCAGCTGTAGAGTGTGAGGGTAGTAAAAAAATTACAGCCAGATAATACCCTTCCCCTGCCCCAACATGGTCATCTAACACCATGAGATCATCTCTTGGAGGCCCTGAAAAAGTCCCTGTGGGAAGGGGACAAAGCCTGTCTGTTCCACATCTAGAATGCAGCCTGGAGACCCTCAGTTATATATCTGCAGCTGCCAGCTTAGGCATCTGTCCTGCTAGCGGCCCAGAAGCCACTAACCAGTCACAACAAGGCTCATAAAATGTCCAAATATTCCCTTCTCCTGTCAGCTCATTCTTTTCCCTGTTGTTTCTAACCACAGCCAGGATGACACAATGAAAAACAAATCACTCTAGGTATATCAGAATCACCTTGGGTTGCATGAGACACTTTAGAGTCTAGTGGATAAATCTGTGGACTGGTCAAAGAATGGGAGACTATATAGCAAAGGGAGGCAGGGAATGAACTAAACTATGACCATCGTACACAGTGATGTGTATGACTGTCAGGTGTGGCAGTGAACAAAACGGGGCCAGGCCCAGGCAGTGTGCATGCTGGCTGACTCCAGTTATAACAGGAGGTTCAAGAACAGGCCCAACCTGTGTGTGGAGGTAGGAGTCAGAATGGGGCCTACCTTTGGGGAGGACATACTGGTGAAGAGGTTTGCGAGGGAGCCTCTGGAATGGTGGGGAGGTCATAGGTCTTACCTTGGTGGTGCTTACCCAGTGTGCAGGTATGTAAAATTCGTCAGCTGGACACTTACATCTTGTGATGTGTAAATACATCCACAGATTTAAGGTATGTACATCTGTGTATCAAGCTGTATCTTTAGCATTTGTGACATATGTTCCTCATTTTTAGAAACATTAAGTTTCCTAGGCCTCCATCCCAGACCCCAGCTTCTTTGAAGCATGCCCTGAGAGCTGCCTCAGGAATGGTTATGATCAGGAAACTTTGGAACTCAAACTTCGTTTGAGACCACAGTCTTTGCATGACTTGCCTGCAGAGCCTGCTCGGAAATGTGCAGTGACCTTCCCAGAGTACTGGCTTCTGATCAGGACAGGGCTAGGACAGGGCAGAGGTGGGATCTGGACAGAGGTGCTATAGATCTGAGTTCTCCTTTTGACTCAGTGTTGCACAGTCATGAGTTCACACGGGAAGCCTCATGGTCTTCTTCCACCCATCATGTTGGTTCCACTCCAGGGACTCTGGCCTGCTGGTCAGGCCGGCCACAGCCTCTGTGTCTGATCAGCTCCAGGGAATGCTGTGAGGAGCCAGGCTCTGAACCGCACCACTGTCCTGCTCACCTGTGGGTGTTCTGCCCTCAACCACCTGTGACAGGGGAGGCAGCGCTCACCTGTAGCAGCCCAAGGACAGACCTTGGGTCAGCAGCACCTGCTTTGCGGTGGCTAGTGAGGACACAGCAGTGTGTCCAACAAGGGCCCAGCACTAAGACTTCGGACCTCAGGCCACAAGCTGCAGCTGTTTCTGCTGTTTAGCCCAGCTTTTAAAACTAGTTGATGTTATAGCCAGCTCTTCCAGATCAAGAACTGTGGCCTTACAATCTGTTCTTTCCAGCTTCACGTCCTCAGTTGGAGGCTCCAAGCATGGCAGACTTGCACTTCCACGGGGATCCGGAGCCCAGAGATAGGTAGGGGGGTGGGCGGATCTCCGTTTAGCTCACAGTACCAGTCTTCACTGTCAACCCCTATTAGTGCAAGGCAGACCCTGGCTCTGCCTTCAGACTGGAATTCAGATTCCTCCTCTGTGACTTGCTGACTGTGTCCTCAGGCCAGTAATCAACCTCTCTAAGCCTTTTTTCTCATTTGCAACATGAAAAGAATGAGCTCTGGGAATCATTTAGCCTGGTGTTTGGCATTTAGTGGGGATTCAGTATAACATGACCATTATGAAATCACGTTGCTGTGTAAGAAGCAAAAAAAGAAGGGCTGGGGATTTAGCTCAGTGCTATAAGTGTCTGCCTGGCAAGCACAAGGTTGTGAGTTCAATCCCTGGTACCAAAAAAAAAAAAAAAGACATGTTTAACACTCTGTGGCATTCAGGGACAATGGTGTGACTTTGGATGGCAGGAAAGGACAACTTGTTATAGAACACAGGGCCTTTTCCCTCTGCTCACACACCACCTAGTCTTCCCCACCCTGCTCTGTGTTGATCTCTGCCAGCAATGAAAAAAACAGTCCGAGTGTTGGTTCCTTTTGATGGGCACAAGTGGACGGGAAGGCTTTCCCTTGGCATTGCCTTTAAATGTCCCAGTGACTGTGTACAGTAGATGATTTCTCCTAGGTTAAAAGTTAGGTTAAATTGTTCAACCCCAGCAACCCAGAAGCTCAGCTAGTCTAGATACATTTTCATGTTCATCTGCTTGTTTCCCAACATCTTTTGCTTATCCTTTCTCTATTGTGAGTTAACTTTTTTTTCCTTCTTCCTTCTAGATTATTTGCTGTCTAACAACTATGTAAATTCCATCATTGTGCATAAATTTGACTTTTCTGATGAGGAGATTATGGCATATTATATATCGTTCCTGAAAACTCTTTCGTTAAAGCTCAACAACCACACTGTCCATTTCTTTTACAATGAGGTAAGTCAGTGACCGCCAGAGGAGTGCATTTGGGCGTAGAGCTAACCCTGTCGCAGCGCCGTGGAGCTGTGTGCAGTACCCGCAGGTGCTTTCCCAGCAACAGTGTTTGACTTGGGCATGATTTTAAAAAGTGGACTCAAAAAATTAGTGTTTTATTTCTAAAATAAAATTCAGTTTGTGCTAAGAGTATTGCACTTAGCAGAGAGAAGTGTCTGGTTGTCTTGGGCTGGTGATGCCCTGTAGGAAAACCAGGAACTGCCTTCAGGTCTGCTTCGCCATTTCCCGGCAGTGTGATCTCAGGGAACTTCCAGTCCCACTTTTGAGCCTCAATTTCCTCATCTGAGAAATCAGAATGAAAATATATACTGTTTTGAGGTCAAAGCACATAGTATGTATATAGCTCTCTAAGACTGTAGACATTGCTGTTCTATAAGCTAATGTTCCTGGTATTCCTTGGGAGCATTATTAATAACTGAAATAAACCGCTGCTGCTGTCACAATTACAAAGAGCTTGAACAAGAAGGTCCTTTATCACATGTCCATACAAATGCCAGCTATGCTTAAACTAGCTGACCCACATCTTCCAAGTACCCTGATTTTTGCATCTTTCTGCTTTTTTGACTGTGCAGTTGGCATCTGTTCTCAGGTTCAACCCCTTAGGGTCACAGGATGGCTGCAGCAGCTCCAGCCATCCCATACTCACATGCTATTGCTGAAATTTCTGATGAGTTCACTTCCCTTCTTGTATCCCTGTTTGACTTCTAAAAACCTTTCTCAGAACTCTCCCATAAGACTTCCTCTCCTATTTCACAGGTCAAAATTTCTCCCTCAGTGTGTCTGGAATTTGGGATCAGCCTGGAAGGACTACCCTGTCAGTCTCCCAGGAGGCTGTAGTCTTGGACGGCTGGATTAGGGAGGGAAAGTTTGCTTCTGAGGTGCCTCACTCACACGGTGGCTGGTTGGCACTGGCTGTTGGTGGGAGGCCTTGGTTCCCTTTTGTGTGGACCTCTTCTGGGTGCTGCTAGTGTCCCCAGGGTTTAGCAGTTGGCTTCCCTGGGTGAGTGTTCAAAGACAGAAGGCAAACTAATGCCTTTTATGGCCTAGCTTCAGAAGTCACACACTCACTTCCACCACATTCCTGTTCTCAGGGCCACATAGGCCTTCCTGACTTAGTGTGGAGACACGACATGAGAACATGAACGTAGAAGGCGGGATCCTTAGGGACCAGCTTGGAGTGTGGCTCCCAGAGTCAGGTGCTATCAGTGTGTCAGGTGTCTTCTGATTGGTGGTCATGCGCACTTAGAGCCTGTATCTGAAGTTAACCATGGGCCCAAATATATTTTCTAAGTTTGGGCCAAATTCATTCAGCTGTCTGTGCATCATGGGCATCAGCAGCCTGAACTTTGACTGTTTGGTGGTAGGAAGAGCTGGTCTCCAAGGGAGAAAATACTAGCTGTCTCAACAAAACGTGACCATGTGAAAAGTAATATTGAGACCCTATGCCTGGAACGTAGTAAGAGGCGGTCAGTGAACACATCCAGAGAGCAGATGCATAATGATAGTCTTTCCCAAAGGCTCTCCCATGCCTGAGGTTTAGGCCAGAGTGATGGGCAGGCAGATCCACCCTCCACTCCGGTGCACCTGGGCTTCTGTGCACAGGCCTGGAGTGCTGCTCCAGGGGCCAGAGTGCTGCTTCTAGAAGAAATTCTTCTAGGATATTTGTCACTTTGAGGGTCTACCTCCTCATAGCCAACCCAGGCTACTGGGGTTCCCCCTTGGGCTGTTGTGGGTGCCTTTACAGCTGGGTCAAAAAGCAATAGGAAAACACTGTCCACCAGAGGGCAGCAGAGCACACCACTGTGCTCGCTGCTTCTTTTTTTTTTTTTTTTTTTTTTTTTAATAATTTATTTTTTTTTAATTTTATTTAAGGAGAAAAAGAAAAAAAAAGCAGAAAAAAGGTACAAGTTATACAGAATTTCAGAAAAAAATAAACAGTAGGAAATCACTAGTTAATGGATTACATATTGTCATCTTAGAAATATTTGTTCAAGTTACAAAATTAAAGCATAGAAAGTGGACATTCAAACAGTGAGACTGCTAACAGTTCTGTTCAATGATCCAACAAAACTCAGTAATATCATTGTCTATCTTATACATTTAAATATACATGCAGTTATATCGTTGTGCTCTCTTCTTAAAGGGGAACAGTGGGTTTCTGTAGTTTTGAACTGTTTGGCTTCTACACACACACACACACACACACACACACACACACACATCCATGCGCACATGCATTTTTTCCCCTTGGCATAGGAAAAGGACCCTAGGGCCTTGGGCATGCTAAGCAAGCATCCTATCACTGAGCTGTACCCTAGCCCTTCATTGATTCTTCTCAAGAGTAGAAGACTCCTGGGAGCCTCTTTTCCATGATAATGTTTACATTTTTAGAATTTCCAAATAAAGGAAGATATGTGGCCAGTAGACACTGCAAACTTAGTAAAACTTTATCCTTTGGTTACTTGTAGCAGTGTCTAACAAAAACTAGCATTACTATTGGGTGCTGATTAGGTGTCAGGTGCCGAGTTAAACACTAGACTAGAAATGATCTCAGTTAGTTTCAGCACATATGAAGTGGGTATTGCTATCCACATCTTATAGATGAAGAAACAGGCTTAGAAGCATTTCTTCACATAGCTAAGAAGTGGTAGAACAGGTAATGAACCCACGTCTGATAGTATTTGAAGCTTTTCTGTTTCTTTTGTGGCCTTCCTGTCCCATCCCATATTCCCCATTGGGAGTGAACCACTGGATTGAGGATCATGGTGGCAACTTTTTTTTTTTTTGTATTTTATTGTAATTTTTTTTGTTGTCATTTATTTATGTAATCTTTCATTCTGATGGGTTTCAGAATACTAGGGTAGAGACAGGTTGTCTTATAGGTTTGTAACTTTGTGGTACTTCTTTTGCTTTAGCACACCAATGACTTTGCCCTGTACACAGAAGCCATTAAATTTTTCAATCACCCTGAAAGCATGGTTAGAATTGCTGTAAGAACCATAACTCTGAATGTCTACAAAGGTAAGTTTCCTTATTAGCTTATTCCTGGGCTGGTTTTTAATTCAGCAGCAAGAGCTTGCTCTCGTGTTTCTGCCTCCAGTTCTGTGAGGATGATGGGGGCCCGTTTAGTGTAAGCTGGGGCTGTGGATCTCATGGAAGCTTGGCAGCCATTGAGCACTTAACTCATCCCTCATGTAGGTCTCTGTACCACTCTACCGTCTCCCTGCATGTGACAGTGTGCTCAGAAGTAGGGCATCCTAAGAGAGACACAGGTGGAATTCAGAGAAATAAGTCAGATGAAGCAAAGTTGTCTATTAAATGTTAGATTTAAATGTTTTTGTGTTTGGGCTTATAAAACATTCTTCAGTGCAGCCAGATAGATAAATAAAAGCATTTCACATCGTGAACAGCAGGGGGCAATGTTGTGTTTCCCTCTGGCTGCAAAGCCCAGCAGGGACAAATTCCTTTCTTTTTGGAGATGTATTTAATGCTCCTAACATTGCCTCTGGGAGAAAGCCCTTCCAAAAGCTGGCCGTCCCTTTCTGGAGCTGAGATTGCCCGTTCAGGGAACTGCCTTGGAAGTTTGCTGCCTAATGCCCTGTTAGTCCCCTCGCAGACACCGTAGGCAGCTGAGTGTCCGTCCCTTTTCTCAGTGATTATAGAGGATTTTAACATTCAGGAGTCAAAATGTTATTATTTGAGATGCCCCTTAATTAGGGGCATAGGAGGCTCCGCAGGGAGTCATGCAAACCTAGTTCTGGGTCTGCATTAAGTTTAAGAGTCTTTTAAGAATCCCCGTTGGGCCCACCCAGAGACTGCAAACTGAGGGCCTGCAGACAAAATCCAGCCCTCAGACATGTTTTAATTGGCTTAGATGTTTTTTGAAAAAATATATAGTTGCCAGTATTTTTAAATGGGGAGATGTTGTGTGACACTGTTTTCTGACTTGAAGATGTAGGTTTGGCCACAGTCCTGCAGGGGAGGGATCAGCTGCTGCTGAGAAGCAGCTGCCCCTTTTGGGCTTGGGGCCTGAGCTTCTCCACATATACACTGGGCTTTCTTGCCTCACTCTTGGTCTGTCACCCAACCTGGCAGCTCCCGAGTTTGCGACCCGGTCCAAGCTGTGGCTGTTGCCCTCTGTTCTGTTTTCTCTTTTCTTGGCTAACCCGCATCTTTTGGTTTAAATGCCTCCTACCCAGCTATCTATCCCTGTAGGCAGCTGTCTCACTTTCCCAGTTCCTAACCCTGTTAACTGTTGTCTGTTTTTTGCCTTTCCTTCAATGACGATTCCTGTTCCTTATTCCAGTGTCATGTAAGTTATTAACCTCTGATTTTCCACTTTCTTAACTTATCCTGATATGTAAAAATAGGAAGCTTACTTAAGAATGGTGTACTTCTCTTAGCAGTGTAACTAAATTCATGCTGATAAGTAAGCTCTTTAATGCATGAAAACTGCTTAGCCCCACTTATTTGTTTCATTAATTTAAGAATAGCATAAAAACTGCCGTGACAAGCGTAGTTTATAAATAAGATAAACATTTTCAAGTTTTTCCAGGAAAGACAGATAATTTCAGATTATTGTAGAGAGCTTTTGCATTGTAGCTTTTGGGTTTCTTTGCTTTTTTTTTTTTTTAATCCCCTCCCACCAAGTTATTTTGGTAGCTTGACTTCTTTTTTCTTTTGTGAATTTTCTCAGTGGACAACCAGGCCATGCTGCATTATATCAGAGATAAAACTGCCGTCCCTTACTTCTCCAATTTGGTCTGGTTCATTGGGAGCCATGTGATTGAACTTGACACCTGTGTGCAGACTGATGAGGAGTAAGTGAAGCCCCCAGGGTGTGTAGTGGGTACTCTTGGCGGTTAGAGGAGAATTCAGGGCACCTTGTGGAAAGATAAAGACAAGAACAACACTTGGCTACCATGGTGTAGGCGAGTGTGGACTTCTGCATTGTTCCAGGTTCTCCCTATGTGTTTGCAAAGGTGGAAATTACTCCCATACCTTCCAGAGGGGGAGACGGAAAATAAACTCATGATTGGGGTTGCCAGGAAGCTGGTGAGAAGATTAAGATGATTTGTTAACTGATGAGTGAATCATCAAAATGTGGTCTGTCCATACAAAACAATAGCATTCAGCCATAAAAGAGAATAAAGTTCTAAGCAAGTTAGAGCAGGGAGGAACCTCAGCGACATTGTGCTCAGTGAAGGAAGCAGACACAAAGCAGCATTTTTCATGGGATTTCATTTGCATGAAATGCCCAGAATAGGAAAATCTAGAGCCAAAGAACAGATTACTGGTTTCCCAGGCCTGCGGTATGGCAGGAAGAGAGTATTGTTAGGGAGAGATGGGAAGCCATTGCTAATGAATATAGGACTTTTTGCAGAGGGGATAAAAAATGTTTTCAAATTGATTGTGGTGATGATTGGAGAACTCCAAAATGCTAAAAACCATTGAGGCTGGAGATGTACATGAGGTGTTTGGCTCAATCCCCAGCACTGAAAAACAATTAACAAATGAGTAAATTAATTTAAAAAACTTTTTTTTTTTTTTGGTACCAGGGATTGAACTCATGACCTTGTGCTTGCTGGGCAGGTACTTAACACTGCTGAGCTAAGTCCCTGGCCTAAGTTGTATATTTTTAAGTGGATGAGTTTTATGCTATATGAGTCATATTTCAACAAATGAGTTTTAAAAATAGTTTAAGGTGGTGATTTTGTTCTCAGTATGGTGAATAGGACTTCACAGCAGGATTTTTTTCACTTGGCACCGCAAGCCTTTTGAACAGCTAGCTACCCCATTGCTGGGAGGATGCCCTGCGCCTTGTAAGATATTCAGTAGCACCCACTAGGTGGCCTCCACCACTAGATGCCAGGAGCTTCCCTTCCTCAGTCATGTTCACCAAAAATGTCTCCAGATTTAGCCCTTTAAGGCCAAATCACTGCCCAGCAGTCACAGCTCCGCCCAGGCCTGATGAGGGACAGCTGGATAGGTCAGGATGCTGAAGGAGTTCTCCTGGAAGGGAGCTAGACAGGTAGAATATGAGCTCTGATCCTGGGAAAGAAACGAGGACAGGTAAATGGCAGATCTGACTGAAATTTTGGAAAAATAAAGGATCTGTGTGGACGTGACAGTCACAGAGGTGAGACATAATGAAGCACTTTCTTCTAGAAAGAACAAAGTTATCCAGGGAAGGAAATGAACTCAGTCCTCTACTGGGATCTGCAGTGAACAGTCATAATAATGTCAACACTGGTTACTGGTGACTCCTTTCAGGGGAAGGGGCGGAGGTAACATGAAGAGTCCTGTCATAGCAGGAGACCAGTAGATACTATCTAAAAGATTCCATCAAAAATAGAAGTCTGCACAACTTTTATAGAAATATGAGAGGAACTTTCTGGAGAAACAACCAAAGTTAAAAACTGCCTTCTCTGGAAGGAGGAAGACAGGATGAGAGCTTCTATTTTTTATTGTCGACTGGTCTATCTGTATACATTATTTTGATAAAATATTTTTTAAACTATTAAAAAATGAAGCTTGTTAAATAGCTTACTAAAGAAAACTTTCCAGCTATGCATAGTGGTGTGCATTTTAATTCAGGCTACTTGGAGGGTGAGGCAAGAGTGTCAAAACTTCAAGTCCAGCCTTGAGCAGCTGAGTGAGACCCTGTCTCAAATAAAAAATGTGAAGGGCTGGGGATGTAGCTCAGTGGTGGCGAGTCCCTGGCTTCAGTCCTCAGGACCAGAGAGAGAGAGAGAGAGAGAGAGAGAGAGAGAGAGAGAGAGAGAATATGAATCTGTAGTATTTAGGAAGTAAAGAAAAAATGTGAACCATTGTGAGTATTCTGGGGTCTCAGGTGGTGGGGGATTCATAGATGTTATTATACTCTTAAGCTTCACAACATACACGTCAAGTGGATATTTACCTAGTATGTTATTAAAGTATAATAAAGAATACTTAAGTTATGTAAAAGAAACAATCAATTCTGCATTTTACTTATGTTTTGAAGTACGCATGTTTAGATGGATTTATAATGCCTCCGTCAGAGGTTGGCTCTAGGGAGAGATAGAAATATGCAGAAACAGATGGTAGGTTCCTATGTTCCAAAATGTTAATAACAGATTTCTGTTACTTGTACACATGATAGGAATTTTGGATTTCTGTTTATTTTCATTATCTTTTAAAATCTTGTGTCTTCCGAAATGACCATCTATTCCTCAAATAATAATAGTGCAGACATGGTGTCTTACCCTAACTGGATTGTGGTTTGCCACAGCGGCTGCTTGGGGATAGTAAAAGTGTGTACCAGTCCTTCTGATTCTGCCCTGTGGGTTATGAGACTGACTCTACCCAGGAACAAGAGTATGTGTCCTTGCTGTGTCCCACATATGGTCAGGCTCATGGGGTGGGTGGACATGGCTGCTGAGTGAAGCCTGCTTTTGTCTTCTGAGCTCGGCCAGAGCATTTTAATTGGTGAGGATTTATGGCTCCATTAATACTGCTTATCTAGAAGCCTGGAGAGCCAGGGGATTTTGCCACACTGCCCAGCAACTTCTTTTGTACAGTGGCTTACTTTAAGAGTTTAGCTGTGTTTTTCTTTGTCTACCCCCTTAGTTTAGCACTGTGGTTGTAGGATTACTTACGTCAAGGTCCTCAGGGGGAGAAGGGTCCTAGGAACCCCGAGAATGGGTTGCAGTAAGGCTGTTCACTTTGCCCTTGTGTATCTCCCAGGACAGGCAGGATGGTGTCTTGAGACTCATTCAGATACTGCTGTGTGACTAAAGTGCCCCCAGCGATCTGAGTCTCAGGCCTCTGGTTTTAGTCTCAAAACCCATGCGTTTTGGCTTCCAGCCTGAGGTGGCTGTTTCTCTTGGCAGGCATCGGAATCGGGGGAAACTGAGTGACCTAGTAGCTGAGCACCTAGACCACCTACACTATCTTAATGACATCCTGATCATCAACTGTGAGTTCCTCAATGATGTGCTCACAGACCATTTACTCAACAGGCTCTTCCTGCCGCTCTATGTGTACTCCCTGGAGAACCCAGACAAGGTGGGTCTGCCCCTGGCCCACTGTCCCTATAGGCTGTCTTCCAGTGGGGAATGCAGTGGCTGCAACTAGGCCTGAGCTTTGCAGGGACCACCGCTTTGTTTGAGGCAGAGGCTTTTCAGAGCACACCAGTTTTCTCTTCCTTTCCTTCTATAGAAAAGGAATTAACTGTCAGAGCAAATGAGAAAAAGTCAGATTACTGACACCAGGAAAAAACAGGAAACCCCTGCAAATTCAGGCAGTTTGTTTCCGTGCATCTTCCCTGAGGTGTTCTCATCCCATAACTTTTTATGAGTTACTAGAGCTTATTGATTTGGAGGAGATCCAGATGGCAGCAGAACTTGTATGCACTAAACAGGAAGGAATGGAGCACACTTAGAGAATGACCAGGGAGCACACTGAGACTGTGACTGTCCTCAGGTCACTGGCCTCAGTCTCCAGTGGGGATAGGGATGGGTCCTTAGGTACCCTTTCCTAGGGATTCTGAGTCACCAGATCTGGGGTGGGACCAGTAGTTTATCGCCAGGTGACTCTGGACACTGATTCTGGGTTCCCCTCATGAGAAACTGTTTCCAAGCCGGGAGGCCGCTGTCCTTCCTTCCAGAGTTAAGGGGGCTGGCAACGCAGAGCATTAGAAGGAGGCGGGACAGCCAGCTGATTCCCCTGCGGGGGACCTCCTCAGATGTGTCCCAGGAGGATTTTGTCTCCTCTTTGGAGATGGATCATGGGGATCCTTGCCACAAATAACTAAACACAGCACAAGAAAGTTTCAGCTGTAACGAGTCCTACCAGCAGCAGTTCAGCACCGGGCTCATAACACACTTTGTTGCCTCCTTTGTTGGGAGCCACCAACAACGCCTGGGAATTGGGATCTTCAAGCTTGGAGTCAAATTTCTACCTCCCTAATTTCGTAATCCCACGACCTCAGGCAAGGCAATTAACTTCTCTGAGCTTATCTCTTTGGGTGCAAAATGAGGCTCCTGAAGATCCCTTTCTTGAAAAGAAAAATAAAACAAAAAAAAAAAAAAGGAAAAAATGGAAACTAAGCTGTTACAATTAAGGAGAGGAAGAGGGTATGAAGGGACAGTCAGGAAAGGGAAAAAAATAATCAAGTTATATCATATACTGATAAAAATTCCGTATAATGAATGTAATCGTTATGTATACCTAAAATGTACCAATAAACTTAATTTTAAAAAGAATAATAATTTAAAAAGAGATCCCTCCCTTTGAGGGCTGGTTGTGACAGGGCACTTGAAGCTCAACAGAAATAGGGAGCTTTTTCAGACCAGACTGCCCCAAACCTCCCTGTCTTTCATGTTTTGAAACCCTTCCCTAGAACAGGCCTCTGAAGCCTCTCCACTGAGGCTCCCAGCTAGAGGAACGGGCATTCCTGGTACCTTCAGGAGGAAACACCTTTTGCGGGTCAGCCACAAGTCCAGGACTAGTGGTAAAGGATGTTGCAGGTGGAAGCCATGGCCTGGCAAACAGTCCTCAGTGGGATTAGGCTGCACCTGTCTTCTACAGAGTAAACTGCCTGGCACCGTGAAGGGGCCTTTGGATCAGCAGGAAGTCAGGGACCACGGTGCTTCGTTTTCAAACAGTTGACTTTTGGTGTTGTGTATTTTCTGTGGCTCCCTTCTGTGAACTGAATCCCCTTCTGCCTCTCTTTCCTCATCCTTCACCAGGGAGGAGAACGACCGAAAATCAGCCTGCCAGTGTCACTCTATCTTCTGTCCCAGGTATGTTTGCTCTTTCTCCAGCATCGTTGGCACATATGATGTCCTGTGGGGTGCTGCTGCCTTTCACAGAACTCCTGGGCTGCATATTTTCTGTGTCCTCCATCTTGAAATAAAATCAGGATCTAAAGAAAGGGCCATTCTTTTCTAGTCACCGCACAGAGGTGGTTCATAGTAAGGGACAGAAATTTTAAAAGAAATGAAAAAATAAATCAAAGCTGGCCTTGTGTAATTGATTTTTATGTGGGGCCTGAGGTTTCCTAAACAACCAAGGAGTGCTCTTAAATACCTTGGAAATGTGGGCGGCATGGTTTTCATTGATAGTTTTTTAAATAAGCACCAAGCTGCTGGCTCAGGGGCGCATACACAAAGCAACCTTGGTTTGACAAACTTCCTGTAATGAAGCTATTTTTAAAGGATTTTGTTGTGGTCCTAATTCCCAGACTACCTTCTGAAAGATGTCTTATAGCAGCCTCTGATCTCAAATTTGTGTCTCAAGCCAGTTTGTCTGCCTCACCTCCTTAAACAACTGTGTTTCCTTCTTGTAATTATGTAATATTTACAAGAAGGGAAAAACTCCATGGTGATTCAGTTACATAACTTTAAAAATATTTTTATTACTAGCAGTCCAGACTCACAGGCCATCTCATTAGCCTGTCAAGTAGTCAAACTTTTAACCAGAGCTCTGTTCTCACTTTTGTGAGACACCAGTATTTGTTTGCTTTGACGAAAGTCTGTCCTAACTGGGTCTCTTGTCACTTCAAGTTTGGGGTGAGGCTGGCTCCCATTGGCCTGAGAAGAGAGACTCAGCCACTGGCTCCTGCAATGGGTAGACTGATGGGGACCTGGCAGTGGCTTGATCACTGCTTACATCCCATAGCCTTGTTCTTGAGGCTGTGTTTGCTCAGACCTTTGCATAGTGCCCAGTCTGTCTGAATGCCCTTCTGTGTGACAGAAGTTGCCACAACCTCAGCCTCCCCTGGAAGCTTTTCCTGCACTTCACTACAGATCCACCAGCATCTCCTGCTAGGGATTCTGGGAGCCTAGTGGGACCCAAGCAGGCCAGTTGCACGGCTACAGGAGTCCTATGGAAACCCTTGCTGGGACCTCTCAGCTACTGAAGCAGGTTGTCATACCTGAGAGCTGATCATTTAGTGGGGAGGCTTTCGCCCTTTTTCTGAGAGTACTCCCTGTTTCCTTAGTGTAGAACCAGTAGTGCAACTACATAATTCATTGGTACCTTGGTTCACAAACTTGCTTCTTTGTACTATTCTGATCACAAACCAAATTGGATGAGAACTGAATCAAATTTCCTTATAAGGTCAACATTAAACCCAACCATTGAATTTGATTCAGTTCTTGTCCAACTCAGTTTGCAGTCAAAATCATAGAAAGAATCAAGTTCATGAATCAAGGTACCACTTTATTTGTTTTGATATCTCAAAAAAAAGCATAACTTGTAATTGATGTTCCTCAAATTTAGATCACTTGAAAGGATCTCTTTTAATAAAAAATCTCAAGCCCTTGTATTTTCATTTAGCTTAATCATAATGAAGCCTAAATGTGTGAAAGCTCAAACTCAGATGTAAATCCCATGTCCTTAAATAAGCACCTTCATCACTATAAAATAAATGTGTTCTTAGGAGTTATTCTATGAGCATGGCTACAAAACCATGAAAACTTACATTGATGGTATTAATTAGTGTGACAGATAATGCTGTCCCCTGAAACTAAACTGTTCTCACACTCAATGAGCGTGTGGTGTGGACAGCCGTGCCCATCTCTTAAGTCTGGCCGTGCTGCTTCCATGTCCCCCTGCCCTCCCCGTTCCTGTGATCAGCCAGGGAAATGAGCACCGTGAGCACACACGCATGCCTTGTTGGCCTGTGTCCAGATCTCCTTGTCCGTGTTCCCTGAGCGTAGACTGAAAAAAAAATCACATTTACACCAGACACATAATAAGTAATTGTGGAGTAAGTGAACTCAGTGATTAAGATTTGTTTTGTGATCCAATGGTAGCAGTAATTTGGCCATGTTGAAGGTGAGGAAATGGTCATCATTGACATCATCATTGCTAACTTTTGTACCTGCCAAACTCTGTGTATGGGGTCAACTCATTTGATCATACTGAATTATGTCTGTTTGAGTAAGGAACTCTCTGATATTTCAAAAACAGGTGTGCTTGTTTGTTTGTTTGTTTTTAAAGATAAGTAATGTGTTTAGGTATTCTACCGATACCTTTAACTTTATTTGAATTGTATTTATTTGAATAATATATCGTATTCAAACAGTATAAAATATAACATGTAAAGAGAAAAATCGTCCTCTTCTCCTTGCCCCATGGGCGTCCAGTCTTACTTCCCAGGAATAACCAGTGTTTGTTTCTGCCTTTACTTTTTTTTTTTTTTTTTTTTTTTACAATTTTTTTAAATAAAGTTTTTTAGGTTAAAAAGTTCAGCAATGCAAACATCATGCTTTGTTATTTTTTAAAGTTCAGTCTACTGATTTCTACCCCAAACACCACAACAGTTGCAGGGATTTTTGTTTTGTTTTGTTTTGTTTTGTTTTAAATAAGCTAATCAAAAAATACAGTGGACATTTAAACATTGTTTTTAAAAATTTATTAGTAAAAGATGTATTGACGTTAATTCTCAAAACATTGCACCTCATTTTGAACTCACTTATCTCATTGTGCTTGCCACTTTCTGAAGCGGTTCTGGAAGTTGTTTTTTCATGAGAGTCTGATAGCATTATTATGGCTGTTTTGATGTCCTGAGTTGATTCAGCACTTTGACCTTTCATGGTCATTTTGAGTTTAGGGAAGAACTAAAAGTCACACAGTGCCAGATCTGATGATGACGATGGATGAAGACCTGCCATCATGCTTTATAAAAAGGCATAAGCCTCATAAGAGGCTGCCTTTCTGTTGGAAGGTGCTTGATAATAATATTCACCGTATTTCTTGATCATATCTCATAAAGACACGAAAGGGGACTTCCAGAACTGCTTAGAAAGTGGCAAGAATGATGACGACAAACGTATTCAGAGCAAGAGGGAGTACTTTGAGGAGAATTAATGACAGTGTGTCTTTTATTGTAATAAAAAATTTTAATATAAACACCATATTTTTTTTTTAAAATCAGTCTTTGTATGTTCTTCCAGAGATGTTCACTGCCAGGGTTCTTCACTGAGAGTGATTTTGCACCCCAGGCAGTATCTGGTGTGTTCTGGGGATGTTTTTAATTGCCATGACATTGGAAGGGTACTGCTGGCATCTAGTGGGTAGAAGTCAGGGCTACTGCTAAATGTCCTTTGGTGCACAGGATTGCTCCCACAACAAGGATTAGGCTCAAAGTGTCCATAATGCCAAGTTTGAGAAGCTCTGCTCTGTGCACATATAAATGAACAAATACAACTATGCATACATATATTCTTTGATCGGAATAATAGATACAGGATACACTGTGGTACTCCTTGTTGCCTTTACCTTTTAAACCAAGATAGCAGGTGTGTCTGGATCAGCAGGTGGTTTTGAATACTCTGATACCCAAAGCTGTTACTCTGAACATTAGGCAACAGGGTGGGGTAGCAGGGACCTCTTACACAGCCCAAAGCCTGCTGTTTTGCATTCTGGCATGACCAGATCTGCCTCAGGATCATGTGGCTTTTCCCCAGTTTGTACACTTACAGATACTGCCATGTGGTCACAGTGTGCTAAAACTCACCTTGGGATGTAGAGCACATTCTAGTGATGGAATCTCTGTGAGGCTGTCCCCTTGCCAAGTGCTTGACTGGAACAATACCTGCCAGCTCCTTCTTCTGATAGAACTATGGTATTAGGACAGCGTGTTCTAACTTAGCATAATCAAATTTGACACTAACGTGCCTGTGAGAAAAAAGGAGTGTGTTTGTTTGGCTATATCTTTCTATGTTGTTCCACTTTGGCTAGATTTGGCATTGCCAGCCATGAGGGACAGTCTCACTTTAAAGTGTTTCCTACTGAAGGAGAGCAGCCAACCCAACAGGCAATAGTCTGGAGGAGAGGCCAGTCTTGGAAGAGATTTTTCCTGGACATCACCCATTCTTTGGAGTTTTTGTGGCCCAGCCTGGTTGTTTCTGATCAAGGAAAGGAGACATTGAAAAACTGCACTCTTTACTACATGTTTCATTTCTGCTTTTCCACCAGGTCTTCCTCATTATCCATCATGCCCCACTGGTGAACTCATTAGCTGAAGTCATTCTGAACGGCGATCTGTCTGAGATGTACGCTAAGACTGAACAGGATGTTCAAAGGAGTTCTGTAAGTCGCTAGCTTTGGGACTGTTTTTCAGCCTCAGTAAGAAGCCTTTCCTTGTTGTGTTATTCTGTAAGTCTGTAAAATCAGAAACCAACATTCTGTTTATACAGCAGAGATGATGAGGCATAAGGCAGTCTGGCGTTCAGGAGACTTAGTCAGAGCCTGGAAATGCATACCCAGGAAAGCCTTGGGTCAGGTATGAATGGTGGATTTGATTGATTATGGTTATTGAGGATGAATGATACAAATCTGGGCTTCAGATTCGGTTTTTGTGAGCCATTGTCATAGGAGGGATGAGAAGTGAGAGAATGTCCTAAAGCACAGATTGGGCAGTGACCATCTATGAGTGATACCAGCCCTGGGACAGAGCAGTAGGAAGTTCTGGAGACTGTGGCGAGAGCGGGACCTCCTTTGTGTGCATCTGTTGTTCAGCTGTTCTGCAGAAATATGGATGTGATGTTGCCAGGTTTTCTCATGTTTCCAGAGAAGCTAGAGATCTCCATTTTTATGTAAAATCTTTCAAGCTTCAAATTATCAACAAACTGTATGTATAAGCTAAACTGAATGTGTTTGCGATCTTTGCGATCTCAGATTTGCAGGGATGCTAGTCATCAATACCTGATGACTAGCACTGTAATTTTTTCCAAGACCTTCCAGTATGTCCCCTGTGTTTCTTTGCTGTCACCCCTCCTGCTGTACTGGTCCATGTCACTTTTCTCTCACCTGCCTTGTATTTTTGCCTCTGTACCTATGCCCTTATACCCTCAGCCTGGAAGGCCCTCGCACCTACTTCCCTCAGCAAACACCCTTTCTAAGCTCCTTATGGCAAGCATTATGTCTGTCACCAACATGGTGCTGCAACATGGGCTTGGTATTCATGTCTGAGATGAGCACAGAATGTCTTGTACAATGAGCTGTTTCCTAAGAACTGGCTGTCTCTGCAGCCAGGTGCTCAGCAGGCAGAAGCTGAGGGTTAAAGAGCCAGGCTGACCCCAGGGCAGTACCTGTGTTGCCATACCTGGACATGTGGGTAGAGTGCAGTCCTACAGATGAAAAGCCATCACTTCAGAGAGTACAATTACAGGAAGCCCCTGCCTTTCTGGTTTTTCTGGTGTACAGTGGTCTGGCCAGGCCATTTTGGTTTCGTTTGGTTTTGTCTTGTTTTGCTTTGTTTTGTTAACTCAAGGGAACACTAGGGCCTCTGGAAAGGTCCCCAGAAACTTTCTCTCTGTTGTGATGGCAGCATCAGTTTAGCCAGATTGGGACTTTTCCATGGCCTTTCCCATTCTTAATTCTTTCAACACAAGTTTATTAAGCCCTTTTGCCATGATGGTCATTCTGTGGATAGATCAAATCCTAAATGGCTCTTGTTGCATTGGAGTTTATATTCCCATAGAAGAGACAGATGTGGGTAAGTATCCAGATAAATATCCTATGTCAAGTTGTTTAAGCGCTCTGAAGGGAAAAAGTGTTTGTAAGAGAGTTTAACATGGAGATTAAATGACGTGTGCGAAATAGAAAAGATGCCTCGCTATGGTCTAGCTCATGATATCATCTGGTCTGAAAAATGTACAGGTACCTTGGTATCTATGAAGCCAGAGGTATTTCTGTGAAACTTCTTAAGCTAGCTTTTGTTAAGTGCAAGTGACAGATGCCAAGTCAGCAGAATCAGAGGGCCTTCAGTCAGAGCTGCCAAGTACCCCACCAGCAAAGTGACCTTGGGCAAGTTGTTTTACCTTACTTAGGAAACCAGGAAAGCAAGCCCTGAAAGCTGTGGGTGAAGGTGGAGAACATATATTCCAAGTGCCCAACAGATGCAACCTGGCTCGTAGACCTGCATGGTTTGGTGTTCTCTATGTTTAGAAAAAAAAAAAATTTGTAAGTTACTAATGTTAAAATTCATAAAGTTTCACATAATACTTTTGATTTCTAGAATCTATTGAATAGCCAGAGAATCTGGTCTCCATTATGCACAAATTTCTGCAGGAATCTTTGCAAAGCCTGCCTCATCTAATGAGACATATGTTTGTATAAAATTGCCTTGTCCCCACCCAGCCGACTGCTAATTGATACTCCATTTACATTAGTAACACATTTAAGGTGTATTGGGTCCCTATGTTACTGCACATCCTCAGTATAGCTTCTAAGGCCTCTTCACAGAATGTCTTCCCGTGGCAGTGCTGCAGCTAGACTTAGTGTCATAAGAGATGAGCTCAGAGGACTTTGGGCATCTGGGGCTCTCAACGTTGTTTAAATGGTGTTAATACCTAATCTGAGACCTACCCTCAGCAAAATTTTAAGTGCATAATATATTATCATTCCCTGTAGACCCGTATTGTCCAGCCAATCTCTGGAACTCATTCATCTTGAAGTTCAGGATACTGTCCATGTGCCACAGAGCTATCTTTGTAGCCGAAACTTTATACCCATTGAGCAACTCCCCATACCTCTCCTTATTCCCTGCAATCACCATTGTCCTCTCAGCTTGTTAGATGACTTTAGATGCCTCATATAAATGGAATCATGTAGTATTTATTCTTCTATCACTAGCTTATTTCATTTTGTAGAATATCTTCAGCGTTCATGTTGTTACATATGTCAGAATTTCCTTTTTTTAAAAGGCTGAATAATATTGCATTATATGTATATACCCATTTTCTTTATCCATCCGTTGATCTGCAGTTCTTTTGTTTTAAAAAAGAAAAACAGAAAAAAGGATAGAAATGATACAGAATTTCAAAAAATAGTAGGAAACTAATACTAATTAATATATTACATATTGTTATCTTAGAAGTAGTTGTTCAGATTTCAAGATTTAGGCATGAAAAAAATGACCAAACAATCAAACAATGATTGCACAAACTTTTTTGGGTGAACTAACAGAGATTAGTATTATAGCTGTGTATCTTGTGTGTGTGTGTGTGTGTGTATAATATATATATATATATATATATATATATGCATGTATATGTGTATACCTATATACATATAATATTTTCCTTTCCTCCTTCTCTTTTCCCCTATCCTAGTTGCTCTTTCCTTTTCATTATCAAAATTTCATTATCAAAATATGTATGGTACGTTTTGGATCTTACTACTCTTCAAGTTTTTAAAAAAATTTTATGCTAGGGAGACAATAGAAATTTACAAATGTGAGTTTAATTTATTTCAATTATGAGTATAGTCTCAAGTTGCCTCCATTTACTGATAAACCCTCAAGATTATCCTTATTTATAGCTGAGTAATATTCCATTATATAAAAACACCACATCTTTTTTATCCATTCTGTGATTGATTTAGGTTTTTTCCAAGATTTAGTTATTACAAATTGTGTGCTGCTGTAAACATGAGTGCACATATATCACTGTAGCATATCATTTTCAGTTTTTCTGGGAAAATACCCAGAAGGGGGATAGCTGAATTGAATGAGAATTCCAATTCTAGTTTTTTGAAGAATCTCCACACTGATTTCCATGGTGGCTGCACCAGTCTACACTCCTACCAACAATGGAGCAGTGTTCCTTTTTCCCCACAACCTGCCAACATTTGTTGTTAGTTGATTTCTTGATGGCAGCCATTCTTTCTGGAGTAAGATGGAATCTCAGTGTTTTAATTTGCATTTCTTGAATGACCAGATGTTGAACATTTCTTCACATATTTGCCATTTGTATTTCTATATCTGAGAAGTACATATTCATCTCAGATGCCCATTTTTGGATTGGGTCTTTGAATTTGGGAGGGTCTGATGTTTTTCAGTTCTTTATATTCTGGATGTAAGCTCTTTGTCTAAGGGCCAGCCAGCTAAAGTTAATTTCCATTCTGTAGGGTTTTTATTCACTTTCTTGGGGATTTCTTTCGAAATGCAAAAACTTTTTAATAAAATGAGATCCCAGTTGTTGATTCCATGCAGTCTGCATTTTGTTAATGAACTCTTTGCCTACTCCTGTGTCTTCAGGATTTCTACCTTCTTTGTCTTCCAGTAGATTTGGTGTTTCTATTTTTAATATTTAGATCTTTGATTCAGTTTGACTTTAGTTTAGTTTAGTGCATGGTGATAGACATGGGTCTAGATATGCAGTTTTTTTAATGAAAACTTTTAACTGAGATAATTGTACATTTGCATGTAATTATAAGGAGTGTCAGAGAGATCTTCCCCACTTCCTCCAAGAGTAACATCTGGCTGGCATGGTGTCACAAGCAAGACATTGACATGGATGTGCTGGTTCTCAGTTGGAGCTAGAGCACAATGCAGTTTTCTGGTGACTTTTTAGCTTAGAACATCCACTTTGATTGAACCCCCTTCTCCAAGGGAGCATTTAGGAGAGCTCTTTCTCCTGGGGCCTTCTTCTTGGGGTGAGAGACACACAAGTTCACAGTCACTGGTCATGCTGTCATGCTGGATACCTGAACTAAAAGTAAAACTCTCTCTAGTGTGGAAGGAGCAAAGTGAAAGTGTCAGCTTTCTCCTTCCTCATACTGCCTTTCCCAGGTGTAAGATCAAAGCTGCCCTGTTTTGTAGCCTGCAGTTGAAATTTGGGAAGAGGACCCAAAGTGAGATGAATCTTAGCTGTGACTTGCTTGATGGTAGTCCTGTGTTGTTTACCTTCCTTCCCTATGTGCAAGAAGAGTCTCCTATTGTTTCCTGCCTGGCTCGGATGTGGTTAATCAAACTTGTTTTAAGTTTCTTGGTCTTTTTTAACCTACTTTCTCCTTCCCGTAATTTGTAGATAAGTTACTGGTATTGCTTCATTTTTACCAGCAGACCTCTCACAAAACCAAACCAAAATTGAAGAGAAAGAAGCAGGGGGGAGAACAGAGTTATTCAAAAGGACTATAATTTAGGGTTAAATTTAAAACACATCAGCATGGTTAGATAAATGTCTAATTGAAATTCATCTGTGCATTGAAATCATATGGTTCCTGCTACAGGATAATTCTTGCTATAATTCTAATGCAGAACAAACAGTGTTTCTGGTTTGGGGAAACCGAGTAGAGATACTAAT